TGGCTACAAGATACAGATTCTGTTGTTTACAGACCACAGCTGGAGAGCTCTGTAGAGATAATATCGCGTGAAGCAAAAACATCTTGTGGCGACACAGCAATATTTTCCCTATTCATGTCACCAGGGAGGCTTTGTAAAAAGGCGATGTGGGAATTCTGAGTCATGGTGAATCTATTCCCAAATCAGTAGTCTGATAAATGTTTTTCCCTGACACAGTTGTGTTTTGGAGGATGAGCTATTGCTCTCTGTGGAATTGTGTTTTCCTTGTGGTGTGCTCCATGTTCTGCCATTCTTTCAGTCTAGGTTAAAAAAAAAAACACCACAGAAGTGACATAATGATACCCCTGGTCTTCCATTGTCTCACTAATTAGCCCTAGGATCTTAACTGTCAGAAAGACAAGCTTGTTACAATTAGAAGATAAGACAGAGAAATTGGCTGTCCTTGCATTTGACAGAAACGGTGTTCTCGGGTGCTCACAGCCAGGCCTACGGCTGTGTCTTGTGGTTAAGTGTTGCTGCTTCTTCTAAGCTTCTCCCAGTTCATGGCTCCCGTATCATCTCCAGAGATGTCACCCTGTCGTGTTTTTGCCTCCAACCCCCTGTGTGACTCAACTACTCCTTTGGGACTACATGCTGTTCAGCTCCTGCTTTCCAGCTTTTCCCGTCTTGTCGGTGCAGTGGTCTCCTGTCTGACCTCATTAGCATCTTTGAGGAGATCACCAACTTCCTTTCCTCTCTTTTTGTGAGGACATTTCTCACACTATTATACTATTAATAACACTACCGACTATTACTCTGGATAGCTAACTCAGCAAAAAACAGCTGTCCTTTAGTTAGGGTCAGATCCTAGTCAAACAGTTATAATCACTGGCTAATAGCCAGTGAGTGAAGAGCAGGGAGAGGGATAAGGTGAAGTAACTGAATCCCAGCAGGGTGGGAGTTTTTACCTGAGGAAGTACCAGGCTAGCAGTGCGATGATGAGCACCAGCAGGGACACAACCAGCACAGTGGAGATGATGTATCCGTTATCTGTGGTTTCTGTTTAAAGGAGAAGGAAAGTCAAAGCCAGGGGTCATGTAACACCACCAACAAAGAAACAGGAAGAGGGGGCAAGACTGATAATATATGTGCCTGTGTGCGCAAATGCTCTGCAGCATTCATGTGTGCATCACATGAACTCATCACATAAATACTTGATGAAGCAAAGCACCTCCAGTAAACTCTTGTGGCCACAGAGCTGATTTAATAACTGGCCTTAGCAGTATTTTGTCTATAGAGATAAGCATCAGCATATTTCATCCTCCTGGAGTGTCGATCAGAAAACAACAGACTCTTAGAGTGGCGACTCAACCAAGAGTCACAGCCACACAGCCGACCATTATCTGTGTTTATAAAGATGTACAATAAGCCTTAAATTACTGTCCAGGGTTCCTGAAGTTCACTGTGATCTGGTAATAACAAGGCTGTGTAAGAAAAAAAGGCGATTATCAAGCTGATGCCTGCATTGCAGAAGATGCATTATAATGATTACTTCTGTTAAAGCGCCGAGTGCAGTGTGTGGGGATGGGATCTGGTCGCTGTCACAGATTGTTGAGTGCTGTGCAGTCTCACACATTAAGGTAGAAGACACAGACATGTACAGAGGACAACACAGCATTGCATTTCATTCATTGTGATAATGTAATCCTCATAGATGTACTGTGTACAAATAAAAAAACTTGTGTGTATATACACTCAGAGGCCACATTGTTAGGTACACCTGTTGAACTGCTTATTAACAAATATCTAATCAGCCAATCCCATGGCTGCAACTCAGTGCATTTAGGCATGTAGAAATCCTTAAGACAATCTTCTGAAATTCAGGAAGAGCATCAGAAAGGTGATTTCTGAGATTTTGAACGTGTCATGGTTACTAGTGCCAGATGGGCTGGTCTTTTCCCTCACAACCATCTCTAGGGTTTACAGATAATCGTGGGTGTATGTATCAGACCAGTATCAGATCAGTTATGTGTCATGGGAGGTGCAATAAATAAAGCTCCCGTAGTTTTCCCTGAACAAAAATACACATGTAAGTCATGGTTTTGAACTCTTGCTCACATATGAACATGGAGAACATTACAGTTATGGGAAAACCCTTTCAGTCCAGTTTTGGATAGTTTGTGATAGTTTTGTTGCCACAACACAGATATGACGAAGTTTGACCATTGTAAATCATTTCACACAGTGTTACTGAGTAAGCAATTATTTATATTTTATACTATTCATCACACAGTGTTACTGAGTAACACTGTGTGAAGGTTTAAAATGTAAGTAACTAAATTTCACTGGTAAATCATGCATAGAATTAGAGGTGGGGAGGCACTTGCAGTGTGTTTAAAAAAGGAAAAAAGTGAACCAATATTTCAACAGACCTACAAATGC